AGTGAGTTTTGAATTGAGTCAAAGTCATGCTGAAGGTCATGAAGGGCCTGCTGTACTGAGAGGCACAGGAGTAATTAACTATCATCCGCATAGAGATGAATGTTACAGGTTAACAGATAGACCAATATTGTTTATATAAATAGTGAAGAGAACAGGGCCCAAAACCGACCCCTGCGGCACACCTTTCGTAATACTGAGGAAACTAGATTTGATAGTAAGCACACATTGTGTCCTGTCCATTAGTTCTTGAACCAATTGAAAGACGCCTGATCTAGGACTATTTCAGACAACCTTGGAACAAGTATGAAATGGTCAACCGTATCAAATGCCTTCAACAGGTCAATAAATAAGGCAGCACAATGGTTTTTATGATCTAAACAACATAGCACATCATCTAAGACAAGTGTAACTGCTGAAACAGTGCAATGTCCAGGTCTAAAAGCAGATTGGTACTCATTAAGAACAGAATGAGAAGTTTAAAAAGTTCTAAGCTGAGAGTTGGCCAGGGACTCTAAATTGGAAATCGGAAGTTATCCAAGTCAGGATCTCTGCCTTTGTGTAGGGGGAGGACTTTAGCAGTTTTCCAGATCTTAGGGATAACCCCAAAAACAATTGTCAAATAACAAATATAGGTGAATGATTCTGCAATGTGGGGCAGACAGCTGCAGCAAAAAGGGATCAAGTGAGTCAGCCAGAGTGGATTTTTTTACGTAATATATTGTGCAGTATTAGCAATAGCAAATAACACTCTGGTAGCAGCAGTTGTGATGTGTGTGTAGGATAAATGTGTGGGTGTGTGGAGGGGCTAAGACAAATATAAATTGTACCCTAAATTGATAGTCTTATAAATTAAATTCTTACCAGGTTCTCTCTTATATCAATGGGGCAGGATGCTCTGTCACATCATGTGCATACGCCCTATGCACTTGAGATCTGACAGGATATGACAGGTGTAAGCAATTTGATAATAGTTCCAACTCGCCCTCTGATAGGCTGAGTGGAAGTTTCACCATATTGCTTATACCAATCAAATCCTCTTAGATCTCCACAAGTGCATAGGACATAGGGTCTAGGGCTCGATTTGGCATTGGGACAGCGGGGTTCTCTCGTTTTGGCGAAAGACCATCCTCTCTCCTCTGTGACAAGGAAACCGATAAGTGGTCGAGGAGTGTAAATTCATTAGTAGGCAAACGGAAGAGTGTTCTCCCCTCCTCAAGGATACTCATGCGTATACTACCACGGAAGAGTTTTAAAACCTGCAATTTAAAACCATTACAATATGGTACTTATTGTTTTATCTATAAATGTCCTGCACAACTAACTTCATTTGTTTTGAGCACTTCAGTTATTTTGGGATCCACCCCTGTTAACCTAATTTGCCTAATGACGCACGAGTGGAAAAGGATAGTCTCATTTTAAGCAAGCGCATTTCCATCCATGTTCACTCTCCTCACGGACTCTCCTCAATGAACTTTGACCTTTTTCAAAAGGAGGCGAGAGGACTGCGAGAGGGTATACTTTGTCTATGCCATTGAGTCAACTATTATGCAAACCACTCAGAGCAACAACGGGTTACCCATTGTGTGTATGTGTCAGGTCTCTCAACAGGGGTCAGTCAGATGCTGTTCTGCTCTCCATGTTAGGATTCACATCTACACTATATATACAAAAGTATGTGGACACCCCTTCAAATGTGTGGATTTGGCTATTTCAGCCACACCCTTTGCTGACAGGTGTATAAAATTGAGCACACAGCCATGCAATCTCAATAGACAAACATTGGCAGTAGAATGGCCTTACTGAAGAGCTCAGTGACTTTCAACGTGGCACTGTCATAGGATGCCACCTTTCCAACAAGTCAGTTTGTCAAATTTCTGCCCTGGTCAACTGTAAGTGCTGTTATTGTGAAGTGGAAACATCTAGGAGCAACAATGGCTCAGCCGCGAAGTGGTAGGCCACACAAGCTCACAGAACGGGGCCGCTGAGTAGTGCTGAAGCGCATAAACACAGCCTGTCCTCAGTTGCAACACTTCACTACGGAGTTCCAAACTGCCTCTGGAAGCAACATCAGCACAAGAACGGTTGGTCGGGAGCTTCATGAAATGGCTTTCCATGGCCGAGCAGCCGCACACAAGCCTAAGATCACCAACCGTCGGCTGGAGTGGTGTAAAGCTCGCCGCAATTGGACTCTGGAGCAGTGGAAACACGTTCTCTGGTGTGATGAATCATGCTTCACCATCTTGCAATCCTACGGACGAATCTTGGTTTGGCGGATGCCAGGAGAACGCTACCTGCCCCAATGCATAGTACCAACTGTGAAGTTTGGTGGAGGAGTAATAATGGTCTGGGGCTGTTTTTCATGGTTTGGGCTAGGCCCCTTAGTTCCAGTGAAGGGAAATCTTAACGCTACACCATACAATTACATTCTAGACGATTCTGTGCTTCCAACTTTGTAGCAACAGTTTGGGGAAGGCCCTTTCCTGTTTCAGCATGACAATGCCCCCGTGCACAAAGCGAGGTCCATACAGAAATGGTTTGTTGAGATCGGTGTGTAAGAATTTGACTGGCCTACCTGACTTCAACCCCATCGAACACCTTTGGGATGAATTGGAATGTCGACTACAAGCCAGGCTTAATCGCCCAGCATCAGTGCCCGACCTCACTAATGGTCTCGTGGTTGAATGGAAGCAAGTCCCCGCAGCAATGTTCCAACATCTAGTGGAATGCCTTACCAGAGGAGTGTAGGCTGTTATAGCAGCAAAGGGGGGACCAAATCCATATTAATGCCCATGTTTTGGAATTAGATGTTCGACGAGCAGGTGTCCACATACTTTTAGTCATGTAGTGCATTTGTCCCTTCAGCACCGTCTCATAATTCTGTAAACTGCCTGATAAATAAGAATGGCCAAGGAAAAGGAGTAAAGGCAATTAAGGTATAAGTTTAATATTTGTTTCAAAGAATGCATATACAAAGAACAGAAACATAAGACAAAGCATTTGGTTTTGCACCAAAACAACGACAGTTACAATAATAATAATAATAACAACAACTAGGGCTGGACGTCAACCCAACCTCTGAGCCACCAGTGTCAATCAACTAATCACAATCCAGGTTTGACAGACATTTTCTCTGTCATTAGAGGTCATTGTTTACTGGTGTTTGTAGCTGGTGGGTCAGAGTTCAGCTGAGTTCCGGACCCTAAATGTAAAAGGATAGGAAGTAACCTTTTTATAAAATCAAAAACAGCACAACAGAAAAAAAATTAGAAAAAAATAAAAACAGATTTTGGTAAAAACATCTGGAGCCTACATTGAGTGCCAGCTTACATTATTATTAAATCTGTTAACCTATGATCGCAGAGACCAGGGGCTCACCTACACGCATTACCACAACGTTACCACCCTAGAATTACAAGTAATAGAACCAACACAGTCCCTCAGAACACAGATATTTTTAGGAGGTACACCTAGCATGGCGGCACAATAGCATTGCCATTGCAGCATGACAGTATGAAACACTGAGAAAGGCACAGAATTCTGATGTGGCACAGAATTCCGATGCGATAAGCATCAATTAATTAATTAACTATCCAAATGGGACAAAATATGGCCGCCGGTGTACACACAACAGAACGTTGCTTAGAACAAGGAATGTCAGCTTTACTAATAGTTCTATGGTTACCATAACGTTGAGAAAATGTTCGGCTAACTCTCCCTTGGTCCCTGGCAACCACTTCTTCTGCTAACACTGTTTAAGTTCCCTGCATCAAAAGGTCAATTCCTGCATCAAGACCCATCGCTACAGGATGCCTTTAGTTCTTCAGTAATGCCAGTCCCTAATCTACTCCTAACCCCTTCCCCTACAGTACAGTTCTGAAAGGATTGGATCGGTATAAGCAATATGGTAATAAAATGTTTCCCCATCTACTTGATTTAGATTTACAGAAGTGCCCAAGTGGTAGGGGCTAGGGGTTGATTTGGGATTGATCATAAAAATGTCAGACTTCTGTTCTGTCACTTGGAAGGGAGACGTTGGCAAAGAAAAAATCAAAATGGCTACTCTGTCATTGTTTCTTCAGGTGGTGTTGGAGGTGGAGCAGCGGGATTGGCGTTTGATGTGCTCATCGAGATGGGTGGAGCTTAATGCAGCAGTGCATCAAGCTGTCACTCAGGCAGCCATTTAATTTGGTGGCGGAGCATAGGTCTATCAGAACTGCACCAGGAGCTACGTGGCTAAGAGCCAATCAACACCACTGACAGGGAAAGCTGTCAAATACAGTATAAAAGTCATATTTTAAATCAGCCTGTGTCCTATCACCAAAGAGAGGTTATGACACCTTGACAGCTTACGTCAACCCTACAACAGCCTATGTCACCTGTATAAGAGCCTGTATTATTTAACCACCTGAATGGTTCAAACCCCTTGGAGGGTAAAAAGGGGCATGGTTTTGGCCTTCTCCTTGAGTGCAGGGCTGAATCTCAATAGTCTATAGTTACTGCCTCTCCTTGTCTCCTTCCCTTTCATCTTCACTGCTGTTGAAAGCCAATGCCCAGTAGGCATCCATCATATTGCTTTCTCTAACTATTTACTTAGAAACCAGTGTAAAAGGGAAACAGATGAGAGAAATCCACTTTAGCCTACTGAGATGCACCGACTCCACAGGACTGGGCTGTCTCTCTCGGGTCACTCACCTAAAGGCTCTGACTGACTGTTCTAACTGGAAAGGGAGTGTGGCCACGGTAGTCACGGTTACAAGCTGGGTTAGGTTCATTTCTGTGCCTCTCATCCCGTCGGTCCGCTGGTTAAACACAGAGATGGATCAACTCATTGCTCCTTATTGCAGTCTAATCTGAAACTTGTTTTGTTTGTTTCTATACTTCACTTCAGAGTACATGGCTGTCAATCAGCCTTAGCAGAGCAAGGGAGGAGGGGATGGGGGGAGGGTTTGTGTGAAGGGGGAGTGTGTGTGTACGTGTGTGTGTGAGAGGGGTGGGGTCATTCATAGCAGTACACATTTGCGTTTCTTCTTGGGCTCGGGTGGCTCCAACGCAGCCAGTATCGCCTCATCAAACACATTCTTTAGGCCTTTCTGTGGATACAAACACAAACATTCAGGCTCAATGAAGGGTGCAACACACACACAGGCTCAATGAAGGGGCAACACACACACAGGCTCAATGAAGGGGCAACACACACAGGCTCAATGAAGGGTGCAACACACACAAAGGCTCAATGAAGGGGCAACACACACACAGGCTCAATGAAGGGGCAACACACACACACAGGCTCAATGAAGGGGCAACACACACACAGGCTCAATGAAGGGTGCAACACACACACAGGCTCAATGAAGGGTGCAACACACACACAGGCTCAATGAAGGGGCAACACACACACAGGCTCAATGAAGGGTGCAACACACAGGCTCAATGAAGGGTGCAACACACACACAGGCTCAATGAAGGGTGCAACACACACAGGCTCAATGAAGGGGCAACACACACACAAAATAGCATGAATACAGAGGGGCATTCAACTTAATAGAACACACATGGGTCAAATGATCAAGTGCAAACTAAAACATAGCATTGGACATCAAAGCAAATAAAAACTCTGGGTACTTCATCCTCACAGAGAGGGCTGGAAATTAACAAGGATATTATAAACCAAGGAAAATAGTAAAACTACCTGCATTGATTCATGTCAAAGTGAAGTTGGAATGGGCAGTGAGCGTTCAAAACAAATGCCGGGCAAACAAGAAAGTGGAGGTACGAGAGGACATGGGTTCAGAGACACATACACTGCATAACACACACACACACACACACACACACAAGGCCCAAGGGAATTCAAGTATAAACAACCACACCAAAGTCAGACCACTAAAATCAAAAGGTGTTGAGAGACAACACACACAGGTTTACGCTGATCACAAAGTAGCCTACTGTTAGCAGGAACTTCCCCTGCCTTTTGCAAATTACACATGGAATTAGTCACAGCAGCACGTTTCTGCTCTCATTATTTGTTGGTAGAGCAGTTTAGGATTGGAAAGAATGCCTTAGGCCATGTCATGTGAGAGTGGTACAATACAGCTTTATGACCAAAGCAGAGCAGGAAACCCCTGTATCCCTCTGTTCAGGGAAACTCTAGAAACCCTATAGAAAACATATGGCAAGACTCAGGTTTTACCCAGAGATTAGGCTCTAAATATGCAACAAACAACAATCATATTGGTCTAGGAGGCTTTGCAGCCATACCATCTAGCACTATAGAGCTGCTATCCAGCTGTACCCATAGATAGAGGAAAAGAGAGGCAGAGGAAAAGGATAGCAATTTCAGAAGTCCTTTATTCATTAATTTCACAAATAATTCCACATAATTATATTCGCTTTTTAATATTTTTAAACTCCCAAGATGGCTAGATATGAACTGCAGCAATGGAACATTACAGAGTGGTACATAGAGAGTTTGGCCAGTTTTAGAGCTGGACACCATGATGCTGCCTCTGAGGACTCCATTTAGGATGGCTACTTGGGTTCTAGCTCTAATTCTATTGCTACCCTTTGCAAGTTTGGCTTTAAAGTTCTCAAAATTCCATGGTCTGTCATCAGGCAATACTGCCCAAAAGGTGCCAACATGGCTGCCGTGATATTATCTAATAGTGCTGTTGTAATGCTTTTCGGTTGAATCCAGGATGGCCAAACTCTCTATATGTGGCTCTGGCACTTGACAGCCCTAAATGTCACCATGGTCAGACCTCGGAGTCTTGTCATACACCAGCAGTAGTAGTACAAAAAATACATGAACATTAGGAATCATGGAGGCTCGTAGAATTGGTGCTTAAATCACAATGCTGTGGAGCCAAGTAAATCAGACACTCACTTAGCTCTGGACTCTCCAAACAATACCATAACAGTGGGAGGAGAAGCACTAACCAAAGAAGAAGAGACATGGGCCGTGTCTCAAATCACATCCTAATTCCCAAAGTACACTACTTGGTCCACTATGGGTAATAGGGTGTCATTTGAGATTTGCCCAGGGAGAATAAGTGATGTGATTAACTAAACCAAACCCAATATCAGCATTGTTACATCTGAGATAACCCAAGAGCAACGGACACAGTCCTTCAGGCACAGTAAGGCCCATGAGGACAAGTAAACAAAAAGGAGAGGGAAGGAACAGCCATGGCACACACTCAATAGAAAGTAACACTGTCGTAAAGGGGGAGTGGATACAGGGGATAGCTTTAAGAGGTGGTTGGTTGGGTAAAACGAGGACAGAGGTTTAAACTAAAAGGAAGCAGCAGACAATTGGAGAGAAAGGAGGAGAGGAGACTTTAGAATATACAGCACTTCCTCTTTCTTTGCGTCTCTGGTGGCTCTAGGGCGGCTAGGATAGCTTCATCAAATACATTCTTCAGCCCTCGCTATAACGACAAAGGGGAGGGGAGAAAATGACAGCACAGTTAGCACAGCAAACAGAGAAAAAGGGTCGAGATGAGCAGAGAGAAGAAGAGACAAGAAAAGAGGAGAGGGAGTGGAAAAGAGAAAAAGGGAGAGGGAGTGGAAAAGAGAAAAAGGGAGAGGGAGTGGAAAAGAGAAGAAGGGAGAGGGAGTGGAAAAGAGAAGAAGGGAGAGGGAGTGGAAAAGAGAAGAAGGGAGAGGGAGTGGAAAAGAGAAAAGAGGAGAGGGAGTGGAAAAGAGAAAAAGAGAGAAGGGGAAGTAGAGAGGGAAGAAGAAATTAAGGGGAAAATACAGAGGGAGAGAGGGTATAAGAAAAAGAGAGAAAAAGTGCAGGCAACATTGTGTAGAAAATCTAAGAACAGAGCACTAGGAGACTAAAGAAGACTAGAAGATAGATCTACTGTAAAACATTAGCTAAAGTTGGTAGAGGAGATGAAGGGCGGCAGGTAGCTTAGTGGGTAAGAGCCAGTAACCGAAAGGGGTTCTAATCCCCGAGCCGACTAGGTGAAAAATCTGTCGATGTGCCCTTAAGCAAGGCACTTAACCCTAATTGCTCATGTACAGTGAGGGGAAAAGTATTTGATCCCTTGCTGATTTTGTACGTTTGCCCACTGACAAAGAAATGATCAGTCTATAATTTTAATGGTAGGTTTATTTGAACAGTGAGAGACAGAATAACAAAAAAAATATCCAGAAAATCGTACGTCAAAAATGTTATAAATTGATATGCATTTTAATGAGGGAAATAAGTATTTGACCCCCTCTCAATCAGAAAGATTTCTAGCTCCCAGGTGTCTTTTATACAGGTAACGAGCTGAGATCAGGAGCACACTCTTAAAGGGAGTGCTCCTAATCTCAGCTTGTTACCTGTATAAAAGACACCTGTCCACAGAAGCAATCAATCAATCAGATTCCAAACTCTCCACCATGGCCAAGACCAAAGAGCTCTCCAAGGATGTCAGGGACAAGATTGGAATGGGCTACAAGACCATCGCCAAGCAGCTTGGTGAGAAGGTGACAACAGTTGGTGCGATTATTCGCAAATGGAAGAAACACAAAATAACTGTCAATCTCCCTCGGCCTGGGGCTCCATGCAAGATCTCATCTCGTGGAGTTGCAATGATCATGAGAACGGTGAGGAATCAGCCCAGAACTACATGGGAGGATCTTGTCAATGATCATTGTGTTTTTCTGCTAAGGGGACAGGACAACTTCACCACATCAAAGGGACGATGGACGGGGCCATGTACCGTCAAATCTTGGGTGAGAACCTCCTTCCCTCAGCCAGGGCATTGAAAATGGGTCGTGGACGGCTATTCCAGCATGACAATGACCCAAAACACATGGCCAAGGCAACAAAGGAGTGGCTCAAGAAGAAGCACATTAAGGTCCTGGAGTGGCCTAGCCAGTCTCCAGACCTTAATCCCATAGAAAATCTGTGGAGGGAGCTGAAGGTTCGAGTTGCCAAACGTCAGGCTCGAAACCTTAATGACTTGGAGAAGATCTGCAAAGAGGAGTGGGACAAAATCCCTCCTGAGATGTGTGCAAACCTGGTGGCCAACTACAAGAAACGTCTGACCTCTGTGATTGTCATGTTTTGCAGAGGGGTCAAATACTTATTTCCCTCATTAAAATGCAAATCAATTTATAACATTTTTGACATGCGTTTTTCTGGATTGTTTTGTTGTTATTCTGTCTCTCACTATTCAAATAACCCTAACATTAAAATTATAGACTGATCATTTCTTTGTCAGTGGGCAAACGTACAAAATCAGCAGGGGATCAAATACTTTTTTCCCCTCACTGTAAGTCGCTCTGGATAAGAGCGTCTGCTAAATTACTAAAATGTAAATGTAAAAATGACTATGGAGATACTGCCCTGCGAGATCAGCGCTGAAGCGCTTGAGATAGAAGTTTCCCTGACCCACAGATCTAGGATTAAATTACCCTACCCCCCTGTCCCAACCTTCACTCTCAGGTGCATAAAACATCTGACCCAGGACCAGTGGTTATGGGCAACTTCTGACTGACAGGCAGAACAGTCACACAGGAAACAGGATATTGCATCAGCACTTCACACGCTAGGGGAAGCTGGTCTAGAGAGAGGAAGGAAGGGGGCAGGAGAGGAAGAGAGACAAGATGGGGTTGGGGAGGGAGACCTAAACTTGGCAACAGTTTAGATCCACTAGGGCCCATTGTTTCCATTTACAGTAAAGCCCTCGAGTAACACCATAGGGCACAAGATAGCCGTATGAGAGGGAGGTGATAGCTGTACTCCTTCAGTTTTCCAATCTCTTATGACTGTGGTCGGCAACAGGCCAGATTTTATTTTTTGCTCAAAATAGACCGTAACATCACCAGGAAAAATGTGTTTAATTTAGTCATTCTGTTCCCAATTATTCCCAAGAATTACAAAAAAAGAGACGTGATCGTGTCTCAATGTAATGAAGGTATGACATTTTTGTTATTTTCAAATACAATCTCTTTTTGGGCTTAGTTGTGGTCAATTTGCAGTTTACAAATCATTATAATTATGTTCCGGCCCCCGACCATCCTCTCCGACAAGTTGCCTATCCCTGTCTTATGAGCTCAACGGAATGATAACAAGGACTACATTTCTCCATCTAAATGACAGTCTGTTAATATAATAGACGTTTGCCAATACTATGTTTTACTGCCAAGAGTTCGACGTTCGTTGTTGGTGCAGCTCAAGAAGACAACTGATAGACTGCTGACAGTAGCTGCTCTACTTAGAATAAGGCTAGGCCATATATGTGGATTTATAGGGTAAGAGTACCTATTAAGCCAACCAGAATCTAAGTTAAGACATTTCTAACATATACTGCCCTCATTTTTGTAAGAGAAGTTGATATAAAATTAAAGATTAATTAAGTTTTATGACTTTACTTTTAAAATATATATACAGCACCAGTGAAAAGTTTGGACACACCTACTTATTCCAGGGTTTTTCTTTATTTGTACTATTTTCTACATTGTAGAATAATAGCAGAGACATCAAAATTATGAAGTAACACATATGGAATCATGCAGTAACCAAAGAAGTGTTAAACAAATCAAAATTTATTTTATATTTGAGATTCTTCAAATAGCCACCCTTTGCCTTGATGACAGCTTTGCACACTCTTGGCATTCTCTCAACCAGCTTCACCTGGAATGCTTTTCCAATAGTCTTGAAGGAGTTCACACATATGCGGAGCACTTGTTGGCTGCTTTTCCTTCACTCTGCCGTACGACTCATCTCAATTGGGTTGAGGTTGGGGGATTCTGGAGGCCAGGTCATCTGATGCAGCACTCCATCACTCTCAGTCTTGGTAAAATAGCTCTTACACAGCCTGGAGTTGTGTTGGGTCATTGTCCTGTTGAAAAACAAATGATAGTCCCACTAAGCCCAAACCAGATGGGATGGCGTATCGCTGCAGAATGCTGTGGTAGCCATGCTGGTTAAGTGTGTCTTGAATTCTAAATAAATCACAGACCGTGTCACCAGCAAAGCACCCCCACACCAAAACACCACCTCCATGCTTTACGGTGGGAAATACACATGCAGAGATAATCCGTTCACCCACACCGCATCTCACAAAGACACGGCGGTTGGAACCACAAATCTCCAATTTGGACTCCAGACCAAAGGACACATTTCCACCAGTCTAATGTCCATTGCTCGTGTTTCTTGGCCCAAGCAAGTCTCTTCTTATTATTGGTGTCCTTTAGTACTGGTTTCTTTGCAGCAATTCGACCATGAAGGCCTGATTCACACAGTCTCCACTGAACAGTTGATGTTGAGATGTGTCTGTTACTTGAACTCTGAAGCATTTATTTGGGCTGCAATTTCTGAGGCTGGTAACTCTAATGAACTTATCCTCTGCAGCAGAGGTAACTCTGGGTCTTCCATTCCTGTGGCGGTCCTCATGAGAACCAGTTTCATCATAGTGCTTGATGGTTTTTGCTACTGCACTTGAAATTGTCTGTATTGACGGACCTTCATGTCTTAAAGTAATGATGGACTGTCGTTTCTCTTTGCTTATTTGAGCTGTTCTTGTAACAAATAGGGCTATCTTCTGTATACCCCCCTACCTTGTCACAACACAACTGATTGGCTCAAACGCATTAAGGAAAGAAATTCCACAAATTAACTTTGAAGGCGGCACACCTGTTAATTGAAATGCATTCCAGGTGACTACCTCATGAAGCTGGTTGAGAGAATGCCAAGAGTGTGCAAAGCTGTTATCAAGGCAAAGGGTGGCTACTTTGAAGAATCTAAAATCTAAAATATATTTTGATTTGTTTAACACTTTTTTGGTTACTACATTGTAGTGTGTGTATATATATATATATATATATATATATATATATATATATATATATATAATATATATATACACATATATATATATAAATATATATAATACTATATATATATATAATATATATACACATATATATATATACATATATATATACATATACATATACACACACACACACACAGTGGGGAGAACAAGTATTTGATACACTGCCGATTTTGCAGGTTTTCCTACTTACAAAGCATGTAGAGGTCTGTAATTTTTATCATAGGTACACTTCAACTGTGAGAGACGGAATTAATTTGCATTTTATTGCATGACGTATGTATTTGATACATCAGAAACTGAAACCAAACTTATTATTTGGTACAGAAACCTTTTTTTTTTTGCAATTACAGAGATCATACATTTCCTGTAGGTCTTGACCAGGTTTGCACACACTGCAGCAGGGATATTTGCCCATTCCTCCATACAGACCTTCTCCAGATCGTTCAGGTTTCGGGGCTGTCGCTGGGCAATACGGACTTTCAGCTCCCTCCAAAGATTTTATATTGGGTTCAGGTCTGGAGACTGGCTAGGCCACTCCAGGACCTTGAGATGCTTCTTACGGAGCCACTCCTTAGTTGCCTGGCTGTGTGTTTCGGGTCGTTGTCATGCTGGAAGACCCAGCCACGACCCATCTTCAATGCTCTTACTGAGGGAAGGAGGTTGTTGGCCAAGATCTTGCGATACATGGCCCCATCCATCCTCCCCTCAATACGGTGCAGTCGTCCTGTCCCCTTTGCAGAAAAGCATCCCCAAAGAATGATGTTTCCACCTCCATACTTCACGGATGGGATGGTGTTCTTGGGGTTGTACTCATCCTTCTTCTTCCTCCAAACACAGCGAGTGGAGTTTAGACCAAAAAGCTATATTTTTGTCTCATCAGACCACATGACCTTCTCCCATTCCTCCTCTGGATCATCCAGATGGTCATTGGCAAACTTCAGACGGGCCTGGACATGCGCTGGCTTGAGCAGGGGGACCTTGCGTGCGCTGCAGGATTTTAATCTATGACAGCGTAGTGTGTTACTAATGGTTTTCTTTGAGACTGTGGTCCCAGCTCTCTTCAGGTCATTGACCAGGTCCTGCCGTGTAGTTCTGGGCTGATCCCTCACCTTCCTCATGATTATTGATGCCCGACGAGGTGAGATCTTGCATGGAGCACCAGAACGAGGGTGATTGACGGTCATCTTGAACTTCTTCCTATTTCTAATAATTGCGCCAACAGTTGTTGCCTTCTCACCAAGCTGCTTGCCTATTGTCCTGTAGCCCATCCCAGCCTTGTGCAGGTCTACAATTTTATCCCTGATATCCTTACACAGCTCTCTGGTCTTGGCCATTGTGGAGAGGTTGGAGTCTGTTTGATTGAGTGTGTGGACAGGTGTCTTTTATACAGGTAACGAGTTCAAACAGGTGCAGTTAATACAGGTAATGAGTGGAGAACAGGAGGGCTTCTTAAATAAAAACTAACAGGTCTGTGAGAGCCGCAATTCTTACTGGTTGGTAGGTGATCAAATACTTATGTCATGCAATAAAATGCAAATTAATTACTTAAAAATCATACAATGTGATTTTCTGGATTTTTGTTTTAGATTCCGTCTCTCACAGTTGAAGTGTACCTATGATAAAAATTACAGACCTCTACATGCTTTGTAAGTAGGAAAACCTGCAAAATCGGCAGTGTATCAAATACTTGTTCTCCCCACTGTATATGTAAAAACATCAGACAAAATGTGAAAATTCCAGACTAGGCTTAATGGGTACAGAGCGTATCCTTTAAACCCATAGGTGTTCCAAATAAGCCCACCTCTTAAAATGATCAATTTTAATTAATTTCAAAACGTACAAACTTACATTTCTTATTCAATCAATAAGGCACGAGGGGGTGTGGTATATGGCCAATATACCACGGCTAAAGGCTGTTCTTATATAGCCCTTAGTCGTGGTATATTGGCCATATACCACAAACCCCCGAGGTGCCTTTCTGCTATTATAAACTGGTTACCAACGTAATTAGAGCAGTAAAAATAAAATGTTTTGTCATACCTGGGGTATACGGTCTGATATACCACGGCTGTCAGCCAATCAGAATTCAGGGCTTGAACCATCCAGTTTATAAGTAAAATTAGATTATACTAATCTTCCCATAAAGTTATTAAAATAAACTAATCATTTCTATCCATCATGAAAGTAGCACTTATAACAGGGGGGTGTCCAATAGTATCCACAGAGATCAATGTGCACTTAGAATTTTGTTCTTGCCAACCAGTACACACCTGATTCAACTAATCATAGACTTCAATCAAGACATGATTAGTTGCCTGGTTAGAACACAAACCTGCACCCACACTGGCCCTCTGTGGATAAGAAACCATGCAACAAAGACCATAACACACACAACTTTCAATAAATTATCTGAAAGCTGATTCACATTTGCTGTACTGCTATTCTTGTTAATTAGTTCAATTTGTCTTCCTAAAGCCTATCTGAAGACGGTTTCAAATCTCCCTCTACTGTGTTTTAAAAAGGTACAGGTGGTGGACCAAAAAACAGAATCACATGGATGAATGAAAGACAACAATATGACAATGCCCCCACCCAAAAGTGCATGAGTAGTTGCCCAATAGTCATCTTCTCCCTCATTTGATTGCATTTGTCCACCACTTGTATGTCTTCTATCCCTGATATCCCTCAAGCCTGATCTTATTCTACTCTCTCTGCATCAATGACTACCTGTCCACTCCAAAAGTCTTGGAGAGTACAGAGGCTTCTAATGTTGGTAAAGGCACCAAGGCTAGATGCATAACTGTAGATGTATGTGTTTTAATCAACTTCAATCTGAACAAAAAAACATTAATGCTCATGTTCATTGAATGTTAGTGATATCAACACACTATCCCCATGTGTTTCAATGCAAACCGGGCTTAATAGGAGCATACTGGGCTTAACTGGAACAACAGTGAAAGACAATAGTAAAGTCTACTCATAAAATATTTGGGGTGTAAATATACACTATAGACTACAATATTATGCATAGCTAGTATTGATCATATTGAACAATATTGCTTTATTGTCATTTACATTCTGTATAGAGGGGGTGCTTTTTGTGCTACTGTATTCTTTAAGCACACCTGAGATAAATGTGAAATTTACAAAAATGGCATCTATGTATAACAATGCAGGGTTAATTTAACAGTAAAATAAGACTAAACACATTTTAAAATGTAAGCTGTGAATGCCTGAAATCTATTATCTTGTTGTAGTTCACCAAGTTATGTTGCTACTGTGTAACTGACATGCAGGCACGACTGCTAGCATGAAAAACCCATATTTTCTATTGGCAAGAAATAGTCATGAATGCTCATGTGCATATCTCAGCACATTGATCTCTTAATTTTACATAAAGTATGGTCACTTATTGGAGAAGGTATTAAACATTTCTGGGGAAAAAGTGCTTATCTGAGGGTAGCCTCAACACCAAAGTTTTTTTGCAGCTTTGAAATTGTCCAGTAGTGGGAACTTACACATAACAGTGAATAAATGTATAATAAAACATCCGATTGGCTTAGAATAAAAAAGGTTATCGATATAACCAGATGAATTAGTTGAAACATTGTTTTTTATTTGAATCCAAAGATGGAAGTGGGCTTAATGGGTACGCAATACAATATGCATATTGACAGATTTCAGAACTATTTCTGCTACTGTATCGATTCAGATGAACACACAGATCAGAACACGCAGTCAGTCTGTGGACCAACAATCTGCATGTACCGTTTTCCCTCCACTTTCTTGTTTCTTTGAGCCGTGACAGATGATATGTAGCGTTTAAACAAATGGGGCATTTCTTAATGTCTGCTTACTTCAGCTGACCAGAGAGAAGAGACAAAACTTACCTGCAAGTGGCCTGTGTGATTTCAGGATTGTGAAAATGTGTGGGAGTGTCTCAAGCTATGATGTTCTTACGTGTTTGTGTATGTGGAAGTGACTTGCATGTGCTAGGCTGGGGCGTGTTGCAAATGTCCCTCTTTGCTCATACATGCGTGGGGATTGTGTCTGTGTGTTTGCAATCCAGTGTCTGTGGTCTTACCTGCGTGAGGGCTGAGCACTCCACATATTTGACGGCCTTGAGGTCTTTGGCCAGTTTCTCTGCTGTCTCAAGAGTGATGGGCTTCTGCTTGTTCTTGGCCAGCTTCTCTATGGTGGACGGGTCATCTCGCAGATCTATCTGAGTCCCCACCAACAGGAACGGGGTCTTTGGACAGTGGTGGGTGATCTCTGGTACCCACTGGAACACACACACACGGGTTAGAGAGTGTGTGAGTGACATGGGGAGGAGGAGAGACTAGGAGAGGCAGCAGCAGAAGATTGGAAGAAGAGGGAGAGAAGGCCAACCTTTTCTTTGACGTTTTCGAAGGAGGAGGGGGATACAACGGAGAAACAGACGAGGAAGACGTCTGTCTGGGGATAACTCAGAGGCCTTAACCTGTCGTAGTCCTCCTGACCTGGAGAGAGAACACACAGCGTTAGCCTACACACACACACACACCTGGAACACATGGGTTACAACCTTTGTTAGGTACACTCTAAACATGCATGCACTTCCATGTATACACCGACACACACTAAGGGACATTGGCATCAGCATTCAGGCCATCCAGAGAAGGCAGAGTGTGTTTTTGATCAGATTGAGGCAGAGAGCCAAAACTCTCCACTTTATAGACACCAGGACACACCCTAGTCTAAAATAAACACATTTAAAATACTTTATTTGAATCCACAAATCACATTACAGTCGAGAAGGATTCAAACATTTCAAAGGACACAGATAACTGGACACTTATGGATACAGAAAGTACCTTCTTCATACAGCAAGGCTGCCTATGACAGCTGACACTGAGCAGTCCCTTGTTAGTTGCTTTACTTTTGTCTTATGCAGGCCACACACACACAGAATGCAGCTGATGGGAGGCTGTTTCTATAACACCAGTCCCAGGAGGTCAGCTACTCCCTCTATTACTGCTTAGTGAACCTTAAACATCAGCTCAACACACACACGCAATGAGACAGGGCACAGAAGATGAGCATACTGTACCTGCAGTGTCAAACAAGCCCAGGGTGTAGGGCTCCCCTCCTATCATTACAGTTACAGCATAGTTGTCAAATACCTGCAACACACAGAGACACATGAGAGAGTGAGAGAGAGAGAGACACACACACGAGAGGGAGACACAAGAGAGAGACACGAGAGAGAGAGAGACACGAGAGAGACACACGAGAGACGAAAGAGAGACACGAGAGAGACACACATGAGAGAGAGAGACACACACACACCCGAGAGAGCGACAGACACACGAGAAAGAGCAACAGACACACACGAGAGAGAGCGACACACGAGCGAGAGCGACACACGAGCAGAGAGAGCGACACACGAGCGAGAGAGAGCGACACACGAGCGAGAGAGAGCGACACACGAGCGAGAGAGAGCGACACACGAGCGAGAGAGAGCGACACACGAGCGAGAGGAGCGACACACGAGCGAGGAGAGCGACACACGAGCGAGAGAGAGCGACACACGAGAGAGAGAGATAGCGACACACGAGAGAGAGAGAGCGACACACGAGAGAGAGAGAGCGACACACGAGAGAGAGAGCGACACCACGAAGAGAGTAGACCACGAGACTAGAGAGAGACACGAGAGACACACACACAAGAGTGAGCGACACACACACACACGACAGAGAGCGACACACACACACGACAGAGAGCGACACACACACACAAGAGAGAGCGACACACACACACACAGAGAGAGCGACACACACACACGAGAGAGCGACACACACGAGAGTGAGCGACACACACACACGACAGAGAGCGACACACACACACGAGAGAGAGCGACACACACACACACGAGAGAGAGCGACACACGAGAGAGAGCGACACACACACGAGAGAGCGACACACACACACAACACGAGAGAGTGACACACACGAGAGTGAGCGACACACACACACGACAGAGAGCGACACACACACACGAGAGAGAGCGACGCACACACACGAGAGAGAGCGACACACACACACACACGAGAGAGAGCGACACACACACACACAAGAGAGAGAGCGACACACAACACACACACGAGAGAGAGCGACACACACACACACACACACGAGAGAGAGCGACACACACACACACACGAGAGAGAGCGACACACACACACACACACGAGAGAGAGCGACACACACACACACACACGAGAGGAGAGCGGACACACCACACACACACACGAGAGAGAGCGACACACACACACACACGAGAGAGAGCGACACACACACACACGAGAGAGCGCGACACACACACACACACGAGAGAGAGCGACACACACACACACACGAGAGAGAGCGACACACACACACACGAGAGAGAGCGACACACACACACGAGAGAGAGCGACACACACGAGAGAGAGCGACACACACGAGAGAGAGCGACACACACGAGAGAGCGACACACACGAGAGAGAGCGACACACACGAGAGAGAGAGACATATGAGAGAGAGAGAGAGACACACAAGAGAGACACACACAGAGACACACACACACGAGCGAGAGAGACACACGAGAGAGAGAGAGAGACACACGAGAGAGAGAGAGAGACACACACACACACGAGAGAGAGAGACACACACGAGAGAGAGAGAGACACACACGAGAGAGAGAGAGACACACACGAGAGAGAGAGAGACACACACGAGAGAGAGTAACACACACGAGAGAGACACACGAGAGAGAGACACACGAGAGAGAGAGAGACACACACGAGAGAGAGACACACAAGAGAGAGACACACAAGAGAGAGAGAGAGAAACACACGAGAGAGAGAGACACACACGAGAGAGAGTAACACACAAGAGAGAGAGAGATTGAATTGAGAGAGGAGGGAGAGACATGCTCAACATGAGCTTCTGATTAATTTGCGTTGTTTTTTGTTTTTAGAATGAGATAAAACACTCGAATATAAAAAGAATTCAAGACAAGAAGTGATGAACAACAACTCTATTCAATCAGAATATTTAAAAAAGTAACTTTGCGCCTCAAATTAAGAGATGACTCTCGCTAGCTAGCTACACAACAAAAACCTAGCCAGCAGGCTAACAAGCCAGCCAGAAAACAGTGCAGCAGAACAGAGCAGCAGCAGTAGTAGCAGAGCCCACAGGCACCATGTCCCCACTCCCCCTCAGCGTTGAGTCCATTCTCTAACCCCCAGAGGCCAAATATGACACAACGAGGAAAGCTTTTAAACAGAATCTACTAAAGGGGAGGCTAGAAACCCTTTTCACAGACCTCTACAAAAACGGTGATGTGAGTAATCTCATCTTTCTCACTGACCAGCCAAATGCATGGCGCTCAGCAGTCTGCTCTCACTACCCAGCCATAAAGAAAGAGGGAATCTGTAATGGGTGGAAGCTGAAAGTCAACGAGACAGACGACCCTGACAGCACCATGATAAAAATCAACCTCTACAAGACTGGGACTGTCATGGTGCAAGGTAACCTTAGGCTGTTTGAAACAGACTTTCAGACCATTAAGGAGAGAGCAGAGAGAGAGGAGGACACCACCAGTGACATGCCCTCCCACAAGACAAACTCCACCAGCACCACCCTCACCCCCACTATCCCCACTCAAAAAGGCACATCCAGCACCTCTCTTCCCACCATAGTGGAGGACACGCCCCAGGAGGAGAGCAACCCCCTCAGTGCAGAGCAGGCTCAGGCCCTCCTCACCACCATGGCTGCCATGAGGGATCAGTTCACCAAACTGGAGGGGGAGGTGATCCTGCTCAGGGAGAGTGTGAGCAAACAGCAACCAGACATCCACACCTTAGAGGAGCTCCTAACCAAGGTGCGGACAGAGCAGGACAGCAGCCTTGCAACACAGCTGAAAGAAGTTCAGCAAGAGAGAGACGGACTCAAGAGAGCGCTGGCTGATCTAACAAAGGAGGTGAGAGAGCTCCAAAAAGACAGGCAGAGCAGTAATAACGAGCTGACCACACTAAGAGAGGAGCTGCAGGAGCAGCTAGATCACCACTCTATGACCTGACCTCACACAGCAGAGGACCCACCTCCCTAGACACAAAACGAGAAAGGTGTGGTGCCCAACAATGCAGAGTGCCATGGCGCTGCTTGATAAGGCCCAGCTCGGGTCGCCAAGCCACATAATCATACACACCGGAAGCAACGACCTGCGTGCTCAGCAGGAGAGGGTGGCGACTTCACTACGGGGAGTGATTGAGAAGGCCTCCGCAATCTTTCCCAACTCAAGGATCGTGGTGTCAACCCTTCTACATAAAACGCCAGCCTCTCTCGGGACTGTGCCCTGCGACCCAATGTACACCTGGCCCACCATCCCACCCTTGATCTGGACTGTCTCTATGACCATGTTCACCTGTACAGGGAGACAGTCCCCATCCTTGCTAAGACTCTCAAGGACTTCGCTTTAAACCGCATCCCGACCTCTCCACCCAGGAACAGCAGAGCAATCTCCACCCCCCCCCCGAGATCACTGAGACAACACCCCGGACCAGCACCCTGGACCCCACAGCCACACCAACCTCAATACCCACCACAGCCAGCGCAGCACAGACCACCCCAGCCCAGCTTCAGACGGATAAAGAAATGTGTGAGTAAGATATGACTAAAATGTCACACCCTCAGTTAAACTAATAATGTATGACTATTAGTAGACTAGAGCTTAGAGAGTTAATCAAATGTGTTTATATAAGATGCATATTTGCCCAGCAACAGAGTATTTGTGTCTTGTAATTAGGCAAGCAGAAGTGCAAAACAATTGAAACCAATAACAGGAGACTGGTTCCAAAAACACACAGGGAAGGGGAGTGAAAGGCTTGCAGGATATTGTGAGATAACTATGTATGAAAATAGAGAAGAAATGCAGCCTGCCCGAGCAAGGAGTAAACTATGATAAGAACATATGTGTGTATGTGTGACCTGATGGTCAGGAGAGCAGAGGATAACCACATGAGCTAAACCCAGGTGTGAGCTTACAAGATGTGTACAGTGGAAAAATACAGCCCGCCTAAAGCAGGGTGGGATTTTTCCTCTGACGTGTGTGTATAAAAATATTGTACGATCATTTTGTCGCAGAGCGCTCTCATTAATTAAGGCTGACCATTGCAGAAAGGGGTCTTTGTTTAATTTATTTAAACTAGAGATTTACACCTCTGGGAAGTATTCAAAGATTTAAGAAGTAGTTGACTTCAACCATTGAGATAACAAAATTCTCGTGACACAGACCCACCCAGACGAGGCCTAACACCCTCCTCCCACCCACCGCAGACCCACACCTGGAGGAGCCACACCCCGGCAGGCAGAGCTATGCACAAGGCCTAACACCCCCCTCCCCCCCACCCCAGACCCACACCTGGAGGAGCCACACCCCGGCAGGCAGAGCTATGCACAAGGCCTAACACCCCCCTCCCCCCCACCACAGACCCACACCTGGAGGAGCCACACCCCGGCAGGCAGAGCTATGCACAAGCTGTGAGAGGAGCAACTAGCCCAGCACCCACCAACCAAATGAGTGACATCAAACAAATGCTGAACCTACTATGCTCACATGTGATAGGCCGAGGGTCATGGTAAGATGAGCACAAGAACTCCACCATCCTCACACAACATCCACCCAAGTGGCATGACACAAATGCTATCTTAAATGATAAACAAATCACATTTGCATAACAAGAGTTTACGTTAATTGTAAAAATCCTATTTTAATAGTTATTGTTGGATTGTGAGTGTTTATCTCATTTTGAAGGTAAAGTAAAAACAGTTATGAAATCTTTTTACGTTGCATGTTGGAATTTACAAGGATTGAAGTCCCCTGCTTTTGGGCTAAAGAGCAAAAACCCAGACATCCTTAAAGAAATTGATGATGTTGATATTGTAGTACTACAGGAAACATGGTGCAGAGGTGATGTTTCCACTGGCTGTCCACTAATTTATAGGGAGATAATCGTACCATCCACCAAATTAAAAGGAATCACACAGGGCAGAGACTCAGGGGGAATGCTAATATGGTATAAATCTGAACTAACTAATTCAATCGAATTGATCAAAACAGGATAATTATTTATCTGGCTAAAAATCAAGAAGGAGGGCTATCTTAACAGATAAAAACATCTTCCTCTGTGCTACATATACAGTGGGGAGAATAAGTATTTGATACACTGCCGATTTTGCAGGTTTTCCTACTTACAAAGCATGTAGAGGTCTATAATTTTTATCATAGGTACACTTCAACTGTGAGAGACGGAATCTAAAACAAAAATCCAGAAAATCACATTGTATGATTTTTAAGTAATTAATTTGCATTTTATTGCATTAATTTGCACTTCTGCACATTATCACTATGGCCTATTTATTGCCTTACCTCCATAACTTACTACATTTGCACACACTGTATATAGATTTTCTATTGTGTTATTGACTGTATGTTTTTGTTTATCCCATGTGTAACTCTGTGTTTTTATCGCACTGCTTTGCTTTATCTTGGCCAGGTCGCAGTTGTAAATGAGTACTTGTTTTCAACTGGCCTAGTGACTCAGTGAGCACAGTCTGGCTATAGAGACCGGTCGTCACAGGCAAACCTGGCTTCCCAGAAAGGACAGGCTGTGTTCACTCTGTCCCCGGGGAGAGGTAGAGACAGAGCTGCATTTCCTATTACACTGTGACAAATACTCAGAATCTTTCTTTCCCAAAATTATCATTCAGTACAAAGAACTTGAAACTATAAAAGCCAAAATGTGCCCTCCTGCCACAACCTGAGGGACAGCCAGTGAAAAGTGTAATGTTAATAATATTTCCTGTTTAGTTTTGGCTTTCATACCATGTAATGTGTCTTCTCAGTCATGTTGAGACTGGTCGACTACTATTGCTTTAATGTATTGTTATTAATATTGTTGTTGTCGTTGTTGCTGTTAATGGTAATCCCATTTCCACTACTACTATTATTATTGCTGTTGGTCCCACCATTTTTGTTATATGTATACTTTGATAACATAAGTAATTTAACTTGCCATGTCAATAAAGTCTATTGAATTGAATTGAGAGAGAGACACACACGAGAGAGAGACAAGACACACGCACAAGAGAGAGGGAGAGACACACGATAGAGAGACACACGAGCGAGAGAAAGACACACACGAGAGAGAGAGAGACACACACCAGAGAGAGAGACACACCAGAGAGAGAGAGAGAGAGAGACACCAGAGAGAAAGAGAGAGACACACACCAGAGAGAGAGAGAGAGAGACACACCAGAGAGAGAGAGAGAGAGAGACACGAGAGAGAGACACAAGAGAGAGAGACACACCAGAGAGAGAGAGAGAGACACACCAGAGAGAGAGAGGGACACACCAGAGAGCGAGAGACACCAGAGAGAGAGACACACCAGAGAGAGAGAGACACACCAGAGAGAGAGAGAGAGAGAGACACACCAGAGAGAGAGACACACACCAGAGAGAGAGAGACCATAGAGAGAGAGACACACCAGATTATAGAAACACACCAAAAGAGTAGACACACCAGAGATAGAGAGAGACACCCCATATCAGCGAGAGATAAACACCAGAGAGAGAGAGAGAGAGAGACACGATAGGAAGAGACACGAATAGAGACACGAGAGAGAGAGAGAGAGAGAGGCACACAGAGAGATACCCCCAGATAGAGAGAGATAGAGAGAGGAGAGGCTCGGAGATAGAGAGAAACGAGAGAGAACAACTAGATATATAGAGACACGGATAGAGAGAGACACACTCAGACAGAGAGGAGATAACACCGACCGAGAGAGAACATGAGGAGAGCCAAGAACACGAGAGAGAAAGAACACGAGATAGAGAGAGACAAACGAGAGAGAGAGACAACACGATAGATATACAACACGAGATAGAGAGATACCGAGAGCTAAGAGCCACACGAGAGAGACACAAGCCAATAGAGAATGAGATACAATCCCACCAGAGATATATAACTATAACCACAACTCCAATAGAATAAGATATATATACACACTAAGATAGAGAGACACAACCAGAGAGAGAGAGAGAGAGACACACCGATAGATACACCAGATAGAATGAGATAGACAACCATAGAGTGAATAGAGAGAGACAAACCAGAGTAGTTGAACTAGAGAGACCCCAGAGAGATGAGAGACACCATAAGAGATAGAGACACCCGAGAGAGAGAGGACCACGAGAAGATAGAGGACACACGGAGATACGCACTAGAGAGAGAGATACACACAGAGAAAGAGACACACGAGAGCAAGATACACACTAGAGAGGAGACACACAGAGGAGAGCCACCTTAGATAGATAGAACAGAGAGCGACAACACGAGAGAGAGAGACGAAACTAGAGAGAGATACACCATGAGGATAGAGACACGACACACACACCAACACGAGAGCAGAGATAGGCTACACAGAGAGAGGCCACACCATAAGAGAGAGAGACACAGCCCATAGAGAGAGAGATACCACACCAGAGAGAGAGATAAGACCACCAGAGAATAGAGAGACACACACCAGAGAGAGAGAGACAACACTATAGAGAAGACACGATATAGAGAGAGAGACCACCATCGAGAGAGAGAGAATCCGAGAGAGAGAGAGACACACCATGAGATAGACACAACCAGAGAGATAGACCACCCATAAGAGAGGAGACACACCAAGAGAGAGAGTAGAAGAGAGAGAGACCGAGAGAGACATCCGGGAGAGAGACACACCAAGAGAGCCACACACCAGATAGAGAGAGAGAGAGTACACACACCAGAGAGAGAGAGAGATGGACACACACATAGATATAGGAGAGACACACAACATCATCATCACACCAGATTAAAGAGAAGAGAGAGAGAGATACACACACACCAGAGAATAATAGATAGAGAGAGACAACCCAGAGAGAGAGAGAGACACACACCAGAGAGGAGAGACACACATAAGATAGAGAGAGAGCACACACCAGAGAGAAGAGACACCCAGAGAGAGGAGAGAGAGACACACGAGAGAGAGAGACAACACCAGCGAGATACCCCCATAGAAGACCACCATAGAGACACCCCAGATAGATACACACCATATAATACACAACAGAGATAGCCAACCAGAGAGAGAATATACACAGGAGAGAGAGCGACACCGAAGAGAGAGAGCGCCACACCTAGAGAGAGTAGACACACCAGAGAGAGAGAGACCCCAGAGAGAGAGACCCATAGAGAGAGCCACCAGAGAGTAGAGAGGACACCAGATGAGAGAGTAGGACACCGAGGAGAGAGAGAGGAGACCACCATAGAGAGAGAAGTACACCAGAGAGAGCGACACTGAGGAGAGAGGACACCACCGAGAGGCAGAGAAAGCGGCCACAGAGAGAAAAGACCAAACCACGAGGAGCGATACACCGAGAGAAAGAGACACACGAGAGAGAGAGGCACACACGTGAGAGATGACCAACATGATTATGAGCGGAGACAAACCATGATGAGAGAGAGAACATGAGAGAGAGAGAGAACATGAGAGAGAGACATGACACACACACACAACACGAGAGAGAGAGAGGCACGAGAGAGAGAGAGAGGCACACACACACAAGAGAGAGAGACGAGAGAGCGACAACATGAGAGAGAGAGACAACATGAGAGAGAGAGACAACATGAGAGAGAGAGACAACATGAGAGAGAGAGAGACAACATGAGAGAGAGACACGACACATACACAACACGAGAGAGAGAGGCACACGAGAGCGAGACGCGCGCACGAGAGAGCGAGACGCGCGCACGAGAGAGCGAGACGCGCGCACGAGAGAGCGAGACGCGCGCACGAGAGAGCGAGACGCGCGCACGAGAGAGAGCGAGACGAGAGAGAGAGACACACGAGAGACACACAAGAGAGAGAGAAGGGGTTAGAGACTGTGTGTGTGTGTGTGTGGTACTTACCGTTGGAACATATTCAGAGGGGAACTTGTTTGTGGTGTAGGAGATGAGCAGACAGGTTTTACCCACAGCTCCGTCACCCACCACAACACACTTGATGGTCTGCATAGCTGTGCTTTAGAATCCTCTCTACTCATTCAAGATCTAGAGAGAAAAAGAACGAGAGATGGAGAGAGAGATGAGTGACAGGCAGATTTAGAGGCATGGGTACAGTGGCAAAACGACAGTCTCTGCGACAGCTACAGGCTAACATGAGCACTCCTGAACACCCTGTTCAAGGCGTATTATTGTTGAAAATAAAATATTAAACTTGAATTAAAATTGTATTGTCTTCATTCCATTCACATTCTCCATTCCAAGCACTGTGGTTGGACTGCGACTGAGGTAGGGGGTCTGCCCGAGTGAACGTGAGATGCGGAGATGAGGAAGATGACAGGTTGGAATAATAATAATCAAGTGAGACAGACCGAGCTCTGCTGACTGACAGTCACTATTACATAACACCTCTTCCATGGTGTCTTCTGAACAACCACTATCACGCTTGTTACACACCATCTCCCTCTATTTCTCTACCCACACACACCATCTCTCATTAAAACACACACACACACACACACCATCTCTCATTACACACAAGCAGGTGTGTCATGTACACACACATTACCCTCTTCTCTCCCTGTCATTACACACTTGCTCATTACATAAACACTGCTTTCATTACACACCCTTCCTCTCATCCTCTCCATCCAGCCACAGAGACCACATCTCAGTTCAGTGAAAGAGAAGTGTTGGTTAAGAAGTGCAACAGTGACTACAAGGTCCAACACCCAGAAAATCTCCTGTTCCACAGCTGATTGAGGCAGGCCCGGTCTGTAAAACAACCTCTTGCCTAGCCCAAACCCTTCTGTTATGGGGATGGCTCCAATAGCCTACAAATGAGTTGAATAGAGCTTCAGGAATATTGCTAATCCACTCATCTGATTCTTTTAGATCTGGGTGATGGGAAGGGACAGGGCCCTGTACTGTAACTTTACAATCACACCTCCAGAAACTGCCCTAATGGAGAGAACTATAGAGGGAATGACATTTGGGTCGTTTAAATAGTACTGTGGCTGTGCAGGGTCACACATACAGCAGAGCTGGACTGCTGACATGGATAAATGGGCTCTGTCGGTGAGATGGAGAACGCTGGGTTTTGTGAGTCTAGGGAATACACACACCTCCTCACACTGATCCACCACATCTGATCTTCACTACACCCATCTACTACCCATAGAATAAACAAGACCAAGGTCGCAATAATGAAATGGTCCGTTTTACTGGTGGGAATCGGAAAGGAACAGGGAATGAGAGGAGAGGAACAGGGAAGAAACCAGTAAGCATCGACAGGCAGACAGATAGATCTGATTGGCTGACCTGGAAGAAGAGGGTGGCATACTTTCAATTGCAGCTTTTTAAAAATATAAATACAAATGGATCAAACTGACCTAAGACACTGACTTGATAGCCAGACCTAAATTATGCTTTTTCATTAGTACAGCAACATCTAGCAGCAAATCAATAACCCATATCCACACAGAGAGTCCTACTATGTCAACAGATGTTATTGGCACAACACATTTGAATTAGCCTAAATAAATAAAGAATTCAACAAAAATAAATGCCTATATAGAAATACATACATAACGTATCATATTATCTAATTATAATATTGACGTAACGGCTGAGGTCAGTAAAACAGGAACAGTGATTGATTATATTCTGTATTGACAACGTTTTGTTCTAGTGCATTATTTACTGTGCAATGGTTACCATCCAAGTGGATCTTTGTCTAATCAGAGCTACAACTGAATCCTCCATGCAGTCAGTCCCCTAGACTCCAGCCACCGCAGGCCATTCACACAGACAACCAGGCCTGGAATTTTTGTGATTTTAAGGGCAAGGACATTTGGCCTTCAAGAGATGCCCAATCTGCCAGGGCACCAAGGCAATCTGCTGGGGGACCAAGGCCATTAACCAAAATAGCCAAATAAATTGATTAGAAAACCGAAACACACTAGACATTCTGTTAAGAAAAACACAAGTGTATATAAATGTTAGGGCTGACCCCAATTAGTCGACCGGTTGATTGTTTGGTCATTAGGCTGTTGGTGGGGGCGGTACATCCTGTATAAACACAAACTCACTACCTTGACAACAGCTCTGCAGTGCTCTGCGAAGCGCAAGAAGTATGAACACCCTGACTTCTGCTGAGGCCATATCACCGTAAATGCTGCATGGCCAATGCAGACGTCGGATTGACCATGCGCCCAGATGCACAATGCACTTCTCTCTCCAGAATGCGCTCTCTCCCGCCAATTTGTGCACATGTATTGTTTCGTAACTTAATTGTGTAAATTGTTTGCTTTGATTGTTAGTGTATATAAATTCCCCATTACATATATTACCAGTAGTACATTTACCGTTAATTCCTAATCTACAATGTTTGTTACTTTGGTTACAGTAATATATTTTTATGCATTCAACATTATTATTCCAGTCTTCCTGTTCTCATTGTCTGAGTGGACACATTGTTTGAAGAGTGCACAACCTATGCTACACTTGTGAGAAACAAGTTTTGTTTATTTAATTCAATTTACGAGTTTGTCAATTAAGTCATTGTCTTTTGTTTGGAGCGCTCCTGTCAATGTTGAGTAAGGACGCTCATGCATAGAAGTAGGCCAATAGGCTACCTGGCCTGCGCGCAAATGTAGGCATATAAATGTGCCCATTTGGGGATCTGATAGTATTTCTGATTGGCTTAACGCACCACCACTAATGAGCTGTGGCGCTTCTCAAAGTAATGTTTTCTTCACCTCAAACAGCAAGCAAACAAAGTCTGTTTTTTGAGAATTACAATAGTTCCTCAATGTATTTGAAAAAACTTTCAAGCTCTCTCCCTTTCGATAACCACTCAGTGTGAAAGGGAACAACGTCATGCTCGGATCCAGTGGAAACGTAATAAAATAGGCCAACCCGATTACTTCTTATCAGTGCTTGACTTGGACTGAATAGGTTCCGGTACTCATTTTGGGTGCTGGTACTGTTTAGGTGCAGGAGCTCCACAATAATGTTGGGCTAATATTCTATAAGAGGAACAGAAGCTCAAGCAGTAGAACATTTGAGGTGTAGGTACTCCACTCCGGTGAGCTCCTGCCCAAGTCAAGCACTGCTTCTTATCCCTTGCGCAAATAGCCTACAGCTGTGTCTGTACAGAGCTCACTGGACCTGGAAACTCTGGAGGGCCCAGAATATTTTATACAATGTTGCAAATTCGCTAGCGCAAGCTTTGCCCGACCCAAGTTAACAGTTGATACAATGTTTCAAGATCATTGCAGACAGGCCATGTGTAGCCAATGTGATTCATAGGATATTTATCAGGATATTTTCTACCAGCAGGCTGCAATGTTTTTATTTGTTGGCTTTATGTAGGCTATTTTTACATAGTTGTCAATTGAAGTTACTTTTAGGTTTGTATCATTTTCATTTAGATACAATTTTGATTAACCACATGACAATGATTTTGAGATATGAAGATGTTCATTTAATTGAACAGTTTCACAAAAATTTGCATATGAAAACCATAACTGGCACGCAGATCGGAAGAAATTGTAAGATAAATTGGCATTCAATATGAGAAAGGTTACCGACTCCTCGTGTAGCCTATTACTGGCAATTTCAGGAGAGTAAGCCAGCAGGAGTGGGAGGAGAATAGTTGGATCAGGTTAAGGTTCTGGTTATCTAGATCTCTGGTGCCCTCTTAAGACATTTGTCTTATTTCATCAAACCGTACGCTTAAAGCAGACGACAAACTCAATGCATATAGGTGATTTTATTAAAACACATGGGGTGTCTACATACAGTGGGGGAAAAAAGTATTTAGTCAGCCACCAATTGTGCAAGTTCTCCCACTTAAAAATATGAGAGAGGCCTGTAATTTTCATCATAGGTACACGTCAACTATGACAGACAAAATGAGAAAAAAAAATCCAGAAAATCACATTGTAGGATTTTTTATGAATTGATTTGCAAATTATGGTGGAAAATAAGTATTTGGTCAATAACAAAAGTTTCTCAATACTTTGTTATATACCCTTTGTTAGCAATGACACAGGTCAAACGTTTTCTGTAAGTCTTCACAAGGTTTTCACACACTGTTGCTGGTATTTTGGCCCATTCCTCCATGCAGATCTCCTCTAGAGCAGTGATGTTTTGGGGCTGTCGCTGGGCAACACGGACTTTCAACTCCCTCCAAAGATTTTCTATGGGGTTGAGATCTGGAGACTGGCTAGGCCACTCCAGGACCTTGAAATGCTTCTTACGAAGCCACTCCTTCGTTGCCCGGGCGGTGTGTTTGGGATCATTGTCATGCTGAAAGACCCAGCCACGTTTCATCTTCAATGTCTTTGCTGATAGGAGGTTTTCACTCAAAATCTCACGATACATGGCCCCATTCATTCTTTCCTTTACACGGATCAGTCGTCCTGGTCCCTTTGCAGAAAAACAGCCCCAAAGCATGATGTTTCCACCCCCATGCTTCACAGTAGGTATGGTGTTCTTTGGATGCAACTCAGCATTCTTTGTCCTCCAAACACGACAAGTTGAGTTTTGACCAAAAAGTTATATTTTGGTTTCATCTGACCATATGACATTCTCCCAATCCTCTTCTGGATCATCCAAATGCACTCTAGCAAACTTCAGACGGGCCTGGACATGTACTGGCTTAAGCAGGGGGACACGTCTGGCACTGCAGGATTTGAGTCCCTGGCAGCGTAGTGTGTTACTGATGGTAGGCTTTGTTACTTTGGTCCCAGCTCTCTGCAGGTCATTCACTAGGTCCGCCCGTGTGGTTCTGGGATTTTTGCTCACCGTTCTTGTGATCATTTTGACCCCACGGGGTGAGATCTTGCGTGGAGCCCCAGATCGAGGGAGATTATCAGTGGTCTTGTATGTTTTCCATTTCCTAATAATTGCTCCCACAGTTGATTTCTTCAAACCAAGCTGCTTACCTATTGCAGATTCAGTCTTCCCAGCCTGGTGCAGGTCTACAATTTTGTTTCTGGTGTCCT